GTTGGGTTCATGTGAGACCAAAGATTTTTTGTGAGACCCGTAAGACCAATTTATGTTCATTGATCAACTTTATAAGCTCATGATCTAATGGTCCAAAGTTGCGCGGTGACAATTTTGTGATTACAAATGTTTATATTGTAGATCTAATCAAAGGGTTAAGAATTGGTCTTATGGGTTTCACGAAAAACCCTTAGTCTCACATGATCCAAGGGGTGAACCTTAAACGGTGTGGATGCAATGCATGTATAATACTCCAATTGACAAATGATCGCTTCTGAATGTGTTTATAATGAAGAAACTATTGTTCACAAGCTGTTCATATCGTGTTCATACCTGTTTTTTTTTTCTTTCGTGTAACAGTTATTCTTATTATGTTCATATTGTGTTCATAAATGCTATGCAGTCCAAGTTCATATATGTCAAATTTTTGTTCGTATTTGACACAATGGTTCATATATTTATAGTTGTGTTCATATGGTTCTTACATTAACAAAAATAAATTAACAAAAAAATCATAGAATTTTTTATTTTGTAACTCCCAATTAATTAATGATATGGGAGTTACCTAATTTTTTTACACTTAAATACCATTTTCAACTTTGTTCACTTATCTTTATGAAATTTTAAATTTAAAAAAATAAGTTTTTATCATGATTAATCACAACCGTTTATTGAAAAATTGGATGACCAAGATCGGTTAACAAAGTTAACACAAAAACTTTGGTTAACATTTGAACTTGACCCTATATATATATATATATATATGTGTGTGTGTGTGTGTATATGTGTGGTTGGTTTCTAGTAAGAAGAAAAATTAAAGTGAGAAACGAAAGAATCTCCAGTAACTCTCACTTTAACTCTCCTTTACACACACACATATATATATATATATATATATGTGTGTGTGTAATTTATATGTATAAAGTTATATATGGAAGGTAATTGTTTGGTTCATGTTTCATTACATATGGTTGGTACGAGGTGTATAATTTTACACACAGATTATAAATGGTTAGTATGATTGATATCATGTATTCTTTTGGATCATTAATTATTTCCTATATTTCATTCAAAAAATTTTATTTAAAACCTTTTATAAAACATTAATTTTCATTCAACACAAGATCAAAGTAAAATGATAATTTTACATCAGTTCGATTGTTGATTAAATACAATTTCAAACAATAATTTTTTGTCTGATACTAAATCATATAAAGTTTCTTAATCATTTTATATCAAATGATTCTGAAGTTGCCAAACAACCTTTAAAGACCATTTACCAAACGCTTATTCAGATAAATGTTTACGGCTTACCGGCAAATTTCAACACTATTACTTACTTCATGGATAATATTTTAGTTCACCTATCATATGCAACAATTTACCCGGTAAGCATTGACCATGATAAGAGTCATCGTCCTCACTTACAAGGTAAGACTCTCGATCATTGCCTTTGTTTTTACCGGATAAATTTTCTGGCTCTTACCATATGTATCTGGTAAGATAATATGGCTTGATAACATAAATCTTCATGTTGACGTGTATAAGGAGCAAATTAATAAATAATAACACATTTAAGCTATGTTTGGCAAACTAACTGATAAGTTAGCTGTTGACTGATAAGTTAGTTGATAAATGATAAACTAGTTGATGACTGATAAGCTAGCTGGTAGCTGATGAACAAATAATGTTTGACAAAAACTAACTTATAAACATGTAAAATGACCAAAAAAACCATCTTGAAAAATTAATATATAATATTTCACAATATAACTAAAACAAATATCTAAAATATAATATGTTAATTAATACCAAAAAAATGATTAAAAAAATGTAATATGCTGACTAAAAAAATTTCAAATTGATTATTATACATTTTGGATTTGTTAAACGATTAAAAAAAACTATTAATTTATGATTTTAANGAAAACCTGCTTTCTGCATAAACTTTGTTTTTTTTTTTTTTTTTTTTTTTTATTTTTTTTTTTTTTTTTTTTTTTTTTTTTTTTTTTTTTTTTTTTGGAGTTTTTGGTTGTTTCGTAGGACCGAGACCGGTTTTTAGCCTGTCAACCTCACATATTCTAATATTAATTCATAATTTTTTAAAAGATATAATTAATAATTAAATTAAATATTTTATTAGAATCATTTAACACATTTTTATTACTTACTTACAAAACAAAATAAATAATTTTATGTAATCTACATTAATATTTTCAAAGTTTTTATATCATTTTGATAACTAAGGGGCTGTTTACTAGGCTCTGACCAGTCAGCAACGCTGACTCGGTCAGCAGTCAGATTGTTTACCAAAGTACAGATCTGACCAAGAACTAACCGAGGTACTGACCGAGAACTGACTGAAACAGCATGAAAATCATGCCTACCTGGGTCAGATATCCACTTCCCAAGAATGCCCTCTTTTTCACGATTAGGTTTCCTCCCCTACTGTCACTTCTCCTCCCTCCCCAGCCCCGCTCGTTGCACCTCCTCCCTCCTCAACCGCTCATCGCACCTCCTCCCTCCATACCTGCAAAGGTACATTTATGTGATGTTTGATTCTAAACTATGTGGTGTTTATATTTCAAATTAATGCTTTGATTTTGGTGGGTTTTGTTGAGAATGTGTGTTTGATTGCTCGTCATCAACTTCATTTCACCCAAGCACCCCAATTTCATCGTCGTCGTCAAGTGGGTTTTCACTGCTGTTGGGGGAATTTCGTTGTGGCCATTGGTTTAGGTTGCAGGTAAGGTGTCTTTTGGGTGTTCACGTGGCTACCAATGTTGAGGGTGCTTTGGGAGAGGGGATGGAGAAGGAGGTGATAGTAGGTTGATGAACGGAGAAAGGGGTTGGCCATGGAGGTGGTTTTCTGAGGTGGGTTATGGAGGTTCACCACTCCAGGTCATTACCCCAAAAAAAACAATGTAAATACACTATTAACAACATTGTACATAGATTATAATATAGTATACATAGGTTCACCACTGAGGAATTTATTGGCAAGCATTTATTTAAAATATACATTTTGTTTTTTTTTTCATTAAACTATTACTAACAAAAATAATCATATATTATTCAATATTTAATTACAAATAGGGTTATATTGGTCATTATATTTTTGGTAAACACTTACCAAAAATATTTGGTAAACATTCTTACTTGAGACAACACTTACCGGGATAGCACTTACCCGGTTCAACACTCTTACCCGGACAGCACTTACCCGGTAAGATTTGGTAAACAGCCCCTAAATATATTAAATAATAATTATAAAAATAATTAATATTAATGTTTATTATATAATGTATAATTAATATCAATTAATAGTTAATAATTAATATCAAACAATGTTTTAACAATAAAATATTATATTTAACCTATTTCATTTTGAAAGAAAAAAAAAATATTCGATTCCCATTTTAAATGAGACGAAAGTAGGGATATAAACTATGGCACACCGGCCCCACCCCACGCCCCACCTCTCACTGGTTTTTATCAAAAATACTGTCCAGACAATTAATAAGAGCAGCTTAAGAAGGCCCCATGTGAACAATTTCCTTTAATGTATCATTGGCCCAAATCTTTTTTCATCCATTTGCTAGGCTGTAGCAACCTCCCATGTTTCGTGGATAAAACCACCGCCACGTGTCAAAATCTCTTCCACTTTTTTATAATGCAAACCAGCATGAGGGGTCCCTGCCTTGTCTACTCATCATTCACCACAACAATACATGCTACCGTTAGATCACCCCCCATCCAACGGACGCTCATTGTTGGACTTTGGCACGTGGTCCCACCTTCTTAAACTCGTGGCTCTGAAGGGCGAACACGTTGCACACACATTCAATACTAGCAATTTGCAACAACTCGCCGGGTTTTTTTCATTCATCAGCGGTCAATATCCTCGTAAAAGTCGTTTATGTTACAACAAGCCACTCCTTATTTTTAACTATTTACAAAATATACCCTTATTTTGGAAGTGGCTTGCATTTTACACCAATTAATGATTTATTTGGTTTCATGTTACTTGTTAGGTGTGGGGTGGGCAATGTGGATGCTTACTTAGAAATTATAAGTAAAAGACGATAAAATCATAGTTGTAAAATCTCATGTGATATAATCATAATCTTTAATAGAAATTACCTAAAGTCATTATAAGTAAAAGATAACTGATGGACCAAATTTCAAACAAATTTGTAATTTAGAGATCGGTTATCAAACACTTATTGAATTGCTTATTTACTCTTTAAGTAAACTAGAAGGTACTTGCGCAATGCAGCGAGATACATATTCATTTTAATGTTTTGTTTTAATTTTTGTCTATGTTGATATAATACGGTTTGTGTAGTTTTGAGAAAAATAATGTTTATACTTTTAAATAAAAATAAATTTGAAGACATCATAATTTTTTTTTAAAAATATATTGATATTAATATTAATATTAAATTAACTATTTGAAAATTATTGTTTGTTATATAATTTATTTAATTCTTTTTTTTAGTATAATTTTATTTAGATTAAATAGTGAAGTAATATATTTTTGGCTTGACAATAATTTTTTTATAAAGATAATGATTATGTTAGAACTCGATAATTATCTTAATTATATTTTAGATTTTTTATATTTTAAAATAAAATGTTTATCCACAGTTAGTTTCACGAATTCGAACATGGAGCTTTAATAAGTTGTACTTGTGCATAACTTAATTGTAATGTTGAATTTTAAGTAATATGCATTAATATACAATACTTTATGCATACAAATTAGTTTTTAAAAGTATTTGTCAAATGCTTTATAATATAGTATAGATTAAACCCCTGCCTATTGCCAAGTCAACTCATAATTTTTAATGGGTTACGAAATTGACAAATGATTAGTATTGGGTTAAGTTATGTCAAAAGCGTAAAAGTTGAAGGTCTTAAATGCAAAAAGTGAAAATAACGTGGAACAAGTGGTGTGTGTAATTGAATACCAGCCTAAGATCACCTGAACCACACAATCACACGCACACATAGACTGACGAGACTCCAAAGCGCTGCACGGCCAACCTCGCCAACTCTCTCTCTTCAATTCTCCTATGCATTCAGCAGAACAGCCATGAATAATTTGAACAAAAACTCTACACAATCGCCATCGCCATCAATGGCGGCAAATTCGACGCCTACGGATAGTTCAGGGAAGAAGGTACGGAAGCCCTATACCATTACCAAGTCCAGAGAGAGTTGGACTGATGAAGAGCACGATAAGTTCCTTGAAGCTCTTCAATTGTTAGTAATTTTGCTATTTTTTTTAAATATAAGTAGTGATTAAACTCATCGACTCAATTTGCAAGTTGTCACTGCAGTTTGATCATGTGATTTGAATTAGTGAAAGAGTTCTCCTGATAATTTTGGTGTCGTTTGATTGACCTAAATGGAGCGCGGGAAGTGCCCAGCCTTCAGTAGTTTTTTGTTTTTGATTTGATCGAACATGCTTGTAATAATTATTAGTTTGGTATCATGCTGCAATAATTGAAATATGAGAATTGATTATAGCTATATTGATGATGTTGATGATAAACAATCATGAATTATCTCTATAGTTTAATTCCTATAACCGTTATTATGAAGTGGTGACAGTAGAAATTAAATACTCAGTTCGTGTGGATAAGATTGGATATAGATAGAGAACGAAGCTTAAGCTACCAAAATTTGAGAGCCAATTTTGTATGATAGAATGTATTCAAAAACTCCGACATGTAGTCCATGTGGGTAGCTTTGTAAGCGAGATCTATTGAATCAAAAAATGATTACTAGTTTATATAATTTGAGTGTGATTGACAAGGCATTAGATCACAGCTGCTTATCGGAATCAAGGTCATACTAGAATACTACTTCATTTCGCAAAATTAAAGTGGGGATCAATTATCCTTTTTAGTTGTCATTCTGAACTGTGAAGACTGAAGAGTTATCCATAGAGAGTTTCATATAAAGTATAAATGATGTTTGATCTACTCAAGGGTAATTAAAAAGGAATTTGGCTAGGTGATAAAGCTGATTGTAGTCGGAAACTCTGTATATGAACGGCAGACATGTCGCTCTTCAATCATATGATGATCAGAAAGAAGATAATATTATCAAACCACCTCGTAGTTGCGCCTATGGACATGGCTGATTTTACATCAGCTGGGAGGACATGTTTCTGCAACCTAAAAGCAATAATGGCGCCAAAAATCAATAAAAGATGGGAAACATTTACAAGTTGATTGTACTTCTTATTTTTGGAGGGAGAAAATTCTGTAATTTATGATTTTATATAAATATTTCAAAACCCTCTATTAAATAAAAAAAATTGGAGGGATTATACCTGCTAACTTTTCCCTGGCTCTATTACTGCTTAAAAGCCAATTCTGTCTCATTTATCAGTGTTTGTATGGCAACATCTGCTTGCGGCTTGCTTATTTAATCTCCTTTTCTATATGTACTGCACAGATTTGATCGTGATTGGAAGAAAATTGAAGACTTTGTTGGTTCCAAAACAGTAATTCAGGTGCATATTATAAGGCCCGGTTATTCCTTTTTTTAACTTATACGAAACATCATTTATGATTTAGATAAGTATGATAAATATTTGTTGTTATCTTTTCCATGTATTTTGTAATCTCCTTTGATAGTCAGGAATCCTTTTCTTTTGATAGGGCTGTAAATTTGTATAAATTCAGCCTTCTTGATGCCTAAATAACACATAGAAATTTCTCAATTTCAAATTTACAAACATCTCATTTATGAAATTAGATAGGATCTGCTGCTCTTAAGAGTCTTTCAATGACTGGGGTATTTTGAACCTTCTTAATTATTCAATATATTTAATTCTGACTGTGCATGTACTGATGTATATATGTCATTTATGTATGCTTGCGGTTCGTCTATTCACACATTCAGTCTTTGCACGGCTAAAACACCTTCCTTCCACAGGGGAGTCACCTTTAGAAGTTTCATATTTGCAACTGTTAAGAAGGCAGTTGATTCACTTTGTTGCCCCATTTCCGTCTCACCCTATAGTGTCTGATCTTGCTGATATTTCTCTCCCAGATCTGGATTTCTTCAGTTTCTTTGAGTAACATGCTTAATCAAGTACTATTATGTCTTAATGCCGACTGTGTTGGTAACAATTCTTTCACCTAAAAAATGAAGAGATTTGACATGCTAGTATCAAATAATGGTACTACTTGCTTGTTTCTGTGATAAATTCTCATGAGGTTCCAAAATCAAGTTAATGATGCAACTGGAGTTGCCTCAATGTCCTAAATTATCAATTTCATTGCTTTTGGTCTTAGGCAGGTTCTGCCACAGTGGTTTCCTTGCATTTGATGAGGATTTCTGGTCATTGTACTAGGGCCTCCAGGTGACCTGGTAGCGTTTTGTTGTGGTGAAAGATCAATATGTATCTCTCACCACTTAAATGCATTCAATTAGGCCAAGGTTAAGATTTCAGCTCCCTCCTCTCTTTTCCTATAAGTAAGTAGGTGATACTACCCCATATTACTTTCTGTGCTCTGTATAACCATATTTTAAATTATTTAGATTCATTTTACTCTATTTTTTCTGGTTGGAATACGGCATGTTGTTGGATACAGTTAGGTCTCTCCTGGGTTCACCCTTTCTATTTCCTTTTTTAATTTTTTTTTTATTTTACTTAGTAATTCGCTAAAGGGCGTGATTGATCTTTCCTAAAAGTGAAAATAAGCTTGATCTGAACAAACTAATGCAATATGTCCATAGTTTTCAATTGATGGGGGGTAATGCTATTTGCAGATACGAAGTCATGCCCAAAAATACTTTCTAAAGGTCCAAAAGAATGGATCAATAGCACACGTGCCGCCACCTCGTCCTAAGCGCAAGGCCACCCATCCTTATCCACAAAAGGCATCCAAAAATGGTGTGTATATGAAAAATATTCCAAATTATTTGTCAAATGTTGTTAAATTTGAAGCACGCTATTTATAATCTTTATGTATGTATGTATGTATGTATGTATGCGTGTATTTATTGTTTTTAAAACATCTTTTTTGACTTTGTGGCAGTTTTATTGCCGCTTCAAGCATCGATCGGTTATCCTTCTTCACTGACTGCCCTTGCACCTGGATACTCTCCATGGGATGACACTTCCATGCTTATAAGCCCATCTGGTGGAATCATACCATCGCAAGATGAATACGATCTCCACGGATTTGAAGGCATGCATGCATGTTTGTCATCTCTCAACTCTTGAGTTTATATGCTTAGTCATTTACTATGGCCATGTTACCCGTACACTTACAATTGCATCAACGTCGTTTTTCAGCTGATATTGGATCAAAGGAGGCAGGAAGGATCAGTAACATCAGTACTAGTGGCATAGGGAGCTCAAGTAGAGAAATGCCAAGTTCTGAACTAGCAAATCAAGGAGAACAAGGTTCTATTCTCCCTGGTAACCTTCTTATTCACGTGTGTGTGTAGTTATGTATTCATTAAATTTTACCATCATATTTCAATTATTTGAGTTCGAGACTGGCAGTACCTTTCATCTATATGTGATCTATAAATTTCTTGATATACCGTGATTCTATTCTAAGTGATCAATCTCATGGTTATTGAGAACTTGGCAAGGCTCTTCACTCTTTTAGGTTGTCTGCTAGTAACCTATATGTCCCTCTATGTGTGTTTTAATGTTAACTCTTCTCTCTAGGTTGAGTTAAATAAGAAATGAAATAATGTTTTTATACGTCTCATTTACTTGCTTATCAAACCTTGTGGATTGTAAATGTATCGTATTATGTACATATGCAGTGCACCCTGTTTCTTATGACCTTGGTCAGTCGTTCAGCATCACAGCATTTAAACTTCGGGGTGATGAATATAGTACAATTAGGATAACATTTACTCATTTCATGTTTCATTCATAATTTTTTTTTATTCATCTTTTTTGTCTCATCTAGTAAAAAGATTTACGGTAAACCTTTCTTGAGAGATGCAAACAAATAGAATTCACAGGCCTACTGTTCTATACGTACACATGCTACAATATACCTCCTGTTTCCTTCTTAATGATAATTCTTTTACTCTAACATGCTACTTGATTATTCTGTAATTCTCATATTTAACGTTTTTTTATCATATACCTTTCTTCAGGTATACCAGATTTTTCTGAAGTCTATAGCTTCATTGGAAGTGTTTTTGATCCAGAGACTAAAGGACATGTGCAGAAACTAAAGGAGATGGACCCTATAAACTTTGAAACAGTGAGTTTGTCCGTCTTCCTCTCTTTTAAGCTCCGTACAGAAGAAGCTATAACTACACTTAGTATCTTTATGTCTGTGATGATCCATTAGCAGAAATAACGAGTCACCGAAAGTAGAAACAGCAAAATCCTTGTTGCTGAAGGATGATATAAGGATGTAGTTTGACAATCTAGTAAGTTATGACTGCAATAACCTGGAAGGGATGGAAATTATCGTCCTGCAATAGGAACTGAGGGAACTGAAATTTAATTGACGGCAGTCTAATTAAGCTCTTAGAGTGTGCATTAGTTCATTAGTTGCCTAAGAGGTGGCATCAAGGAGGTTGTTTCCCATAACTATCTATACATGGTTATATTTTTCTAAGTTCTTAGACTTGCTTTAAGCAATACTTTTTGTGCAACAAATTGATACACCATATGCAAGATAGCTATCAGGTAGATGTTACGGTAACTTTGTCCATTGCCGAGACTGAGGGGCCTGCTTGAATGATTACAAAAAATTGATAACAGCCTTTTAGATTGTAATTCTATTATTGTTTTTATTAACATAGTTTGGATTTATTAATGTTTATAAATCCTCCATTTCTTTTTTTGATGTGCAGGTCTTGTTATTAATGAGAAATCTCACAATGAACTTGTCAAGTCCGGATTTTGAGCCAATGGTAATTTGTCCTTTTTCATGAGCCTATATCCACTCCTAATAATTGGTAGGAGCTCATGCCTGAGTTCTGAAAACAGGTTCATGTTTGATAATTTGTTTGATACTCCTTGAAAATCCTTAAAAGTTACCTGCTATCATGGCATGGGCTCATTTGGCACATGAATATCGTAAGTAACACAAAGTAAATCACTTTCACCCTCTATTTTTGTATTTACTGAGATGTCATTATATAGTGCCTGCTGCTAAGTGCTGGTTTTTTAGCTAACTGTTACTTCCAATATCTTCTTCTTCCATCATATAGAGATTTTATATGAAGGTTTTTTTTTCCGATAAACAGGATGTGAAGGAATTTGTATCATTTAAAATGGATATTGCTGCATAATGTTTCTAGGATCATCAAAATTATGAATCGACTATACTAGTTATATAATTGTGCAAGGTATAACTAATTCTTTAACTTCCAAAATCAGGCATGTTGGGTTTTAAGATTTGAAATCATAGATGGTTTTCTTTTCTTACTTTACTGAATAATTCGAACCATAAAAAGGCATAGCCAAATGCATACCTGCCATAGCACACATATCTGAAACAACAGCTGAATATTTTCAGCTGGACTTGACACCAAGACCAATTGATCAAATTCCTAAACAGATTCATCATATAGAACTAGAACACCATATCTAGAGCATTTAAACCACTTGGACATTTCATGGCTAGTAACACATAATGCTTGACAGCATAGGAATTCGAATTCTGGGCTTGTTTCATCTCCATACCTATTGTAAGTAACAAACCTCCATCATAATTTCAAAAAAAATGTTCAGGCTATTTCTGTAGATTGCCGTGTCTGTTTAGGGATCTTAAGGGCAATAACATAGATGAAGGTTCTACTTAACTATTTTAGTGTGCTAATGTGACCATTGAGGGAAACATTATTAACATTTAAGCATTAATGTAGAACCTATATACTTTTGTAAGAGATTTATGATGCACAATCTTATTCTAAAATACTTAAATGACGTCAACCTTAGAAGAAAAAGAAAAAAGAACATTGACCTACTAGAAGCCAATTCACTATAATTAAGGAACACCAAATAGCAGCCGAACGCTTGTTCTACATTTTGGTCAGTAAACGACAGTGATCCTGTTTTTCTTATTGTATCATGTAACAATTTTCTATAACCATGATATATGGAACCCGTTTGGCTTACTAACCCATTGGATACATGCAACAGCACCCCCTCCAAGTGGGCCAGACAAATTTCATGTCTTATGGGTACGCAGACATGACCCTTAAGGAGTTGATAGCACCTACTGGAATTCGAACATTAGACTGATGCTTCACGAGGCATCAAGTCCAATAGAATTACCACTAGGCCCCTTGGGGTTTACTTAGCATGTAATATAACATCCGTGCATTCTGTACATATGAGTGATTCTTTTAGTGTTGACCACTAGATAATGTTGGTGGGTGCAGAGAAAGGTCCTGTCATCGTATGAATTCAATTCCAAAAATGTAGGAGTTTCTGCAGGCAATGTTTACGAACAATCCAAGCAATGAGGTTGTTGCGTTGAACCATAGACCGCCCTCGTAATTACTATGTAGTATGTCTTTTCATCTGATCTACCACTATTAGTTATCTTTTGCTATATATATATATATATATATATATATATATATATATCTTCATTATCTTTGCTATAAGACGATCACTTTTCTGAATCTTAAAAATGTATCTGAAACATTTGTCCTCTTGATATCCAGAACTATAAATGAGAACAATGTGAGAGTTCTCATGACATGGTGAAAACCTTACAAGCGGAGGTTGGTGCAGGCACAAGGCTTCCTACAGCGAAAAAGTCCGTCCGATTTTGAAGCCTGAATATCAAATGTGAAGATAGTCATATGTTTTGGGGCATGCAGCAAGAGATATATGGGTACACTTTTTGTACATCAATGCTGCTTCTTCTTCTTGTAATTGATTTCTGTTTGATGATGTTTTTGGGTTGTGGTGCATTGTATATTGTAAGAGTGGTGTTGCTACAACAAGTAACAAAGGGAAAGTAATAATGCCCAAGTGGTTGCAGGCCAATTTCTGGTCTATGTACCATTGGTTTAAAACTTGGATATATGTGTTCTTGTCTCTTGCTCTAATGCTCTTTATTGGCACTTGGTGTTAGCTGTAGGTATCAGGTTGTGGATATTGGCATGTGTATGTGATTTGGGGACCCCCCTTTGAGTTAGCTATTGAGTGGGTTCTATCCAAGCCTATTTACCATGGAAGTTTATAAACCATATATTTATGAAAATAATAAATGTTTATTTATTATGATTTGAATAAATATGAAAGATGATTAGAATTCATTAACTATGATCAATGTTTTATATTAGAAAATAATCAATATATTTATGAAACCATGTGTTTGTTAGACTAGATGGACGGTTGAGATTGATTCATAAGATTTTCATGGTTTGTATTTGAGAGTTGGGTTTATGATGAGGATGAGGATGAGGATGAGGATGAGAGTTAAGATGTGAAGGTTAAGAATGGTTCTTCATCATTGGATCAATCTTAATCAAAGAGTTTCACTAGATCACTAATGAGAAGCACCAGATCAATTTTCTTTTAAAACACAATTCATGAATTGATTTGAGATTAAAAGTGATCAATTAAAAGTGATCAAGGGTCCAAATTTTTTCTTACACTTTTCACCTTAACTTTTTTTCTTACACGATCTTTCGTCTTTTATCTAATTTGTCACACACACACACACACATATATATAGGAGTAGGATAAAATGCAAACCAAACTATTTGTACAGACAATGAAAACCGTCGATTTCATTGTTTATTTTAGTGAATTTTTTTTATTAAATTGTTTAATATGATGAAATTGTTTCAAATAATTCATTTTATGATGAAATTTTTTTCATATATTTTTGTTTTATTTGTAAAAATCAAATTGTTTCATGTATTTCTCATTTTCATGAAATTTATTTACTAAAATTAATAGAATGAAGATGATAATGTCCATAATTATTTGAAATGAATTGTTTAAAACATTTTCATTATATTTTATAATTTCATGAAAAAATTTCACTAAAATAAACAATGAAATCAACAGTTTTCACGGTTTGTACAAATGGCTTAGTTTGCAAAATATCTCCCCCCACACCCATATATAATATAAGCTTAATCATTCAAAAACTCCATATATTATGATAACCGTGAGAACTTTTATCTTAAGGCATTATTTCATATGATTTTTTCTCGTCTAAGGTTAACATTTAATGTATTGATGAACATATATTTGTTTCACAATATGTTTGATTCATATATATGCGGTTCACAATGTGAAACTTTTTTACGTGTAACTTTTGTTTCACAAACAAGCTAAAAAGGTTCAAATTGTAAAACACATATATGTTAATAAGTATTCTAAATTTTAGTTTTAGATGAAAAAGATCCTATAAAATAGTTCTTAATATTATCACAATTACATGAGTTTTGAAAAGAAATTCC